GCAGGATTTCCTTGAGCTTCTCCAGCATCTCGGGGGTGGGGTTCCACTTGTTATCGGGGAACTTGACGTTAACAACCAAGTACAGGTCGCCACGGGCATCGGTACGCTTCATCGGCATTCCCTCTCCGGGAACCTTAAGAACCTGTCCGGGTGAGAGGATGGCGCCAGCGGTGAGGGGGTGGTTAAGCTCAATGCCACGGCCATCAAGGTGCTTGATCACGACGCGGGAGAATCCGGTCAAGGACTCAGCAAGAGTGATATCAATAGTTGCGCGGAGATCCGAGCCGGCCCGTTCAAACACGGGGTGTTCTTCCTCGATGATTTTGAAAACAATGTCGCCAGGCTCTTGATCAGGCACTTGGTCAGCCTCGCCTTCCAACACAATCCGGTCTCCTTCCCTAGAACACAGTGAGTATATGATTCCGTTGGATAATGGAAAAGGGGCAATCTTACCTCGCGCCTCGAGGAATGTAGATCTCCAGGATCTTCTTCGCTTCGGTCGTTCTCGTGCCCTTGCACTTCTTGCACTTATCCTTCGGGGCGAAGTATGAGCCTTCTCCGTTACATGTGGTACAGATAACAGTCTGCTGAGTCACGAACTGGCCCATGCGCTGCAAGACCTCCTTGTGGCCATGGCCACCGCAAGTCGAGCACTTTTTGGCAGTGGCCTTTTCCTTACCACCCTTGCCCTTGCAATGCCCACAGATGACGTTCTTGACACTGGAAAATCTAACGGTCTTCCCCTTGTACAGATCCTCCAGGCTGACTTCGTAATCTTGCTCTTCGCTGGGGCTCTTGCGCGGTTTGTTGGGACGGCCACCGGGCATTCCTCCCATTCCTCCCATGCCAGGCATCCCGCCCATACCCCCCATACCGCCCATACCACCAAACATCTGTGCCAGCAAGTCATCCAGGTCAGGTTGCCCTGCCATACCGGGCTCACCCGAGCCGTTGAAGGCAGACATGCCGTGTGTGTCGTAGAGGTGTCGCTTGTCATCATCGTAGAGAATATCGTAGGCTTCCTGTACTGCCTTGAATCTGATTGAGGCCTCCTCACGCTCGGCTTCGGGAACTTTGTCGGGGTGGTTGGCCAAGGCCGCCTATTAGAAAGCCGACTGTTAGTATCGCTAGAATACGGAGATGATCGGGGTTTGTCTTGCCTTGCGGTATGCCTTGCGGATGTCATCTTTAGTTGAGCTCTGATGAATCTCTAGGACCTCTGTTTAAATGAATAACTGATCAATATGGTATTTCTCTATAGTTGATCCGCGCAAAACATACCATAGAGGTCAACTCCAGCCGTAGCCACTGAGAACATTGTTAGTAGAGTCAATAAGAAAAACACGACTTTCCAACGTACTTATCAGTGCTTAGTTTGTATAAATTTCGATCGGACTTTTCTTCTGTAGAAAGAGGCCGTTAAATTAAGCCAAACGGAAAACAAGAAAGGTTGGTGAACGAGAAGTGAGAGCGGCAGCTGTTTGTTCCAAAGAAGTTGAGAAATTTTGTTTCGGGAGCTCCGCGCCGCAGCTCCGCAACTCCGCAACATCTCGAAGAGATCGGCGATTCCTCTCTTTTCCTCAGATACTTGGACTGTTTCACAATGAGAAGTCCTCAAGGGCTATTTGCCAGATCTTGGACCATTCAATGCAGAGCCTTTTCTTCTTCTCCAGCTGCTCGAGCACATAATACGAAGAACAAATTGCCAAATGGCCCTGCGCGCACCCGTTTTGCGCCCTCACCCACTGGATACCTCCATCTAGGCTCCCTACGGACAGCACTCTTCAACTATTTGCTAGCAAAACGTACCGGTGGTCAATTCCTATTGCGCATCGAGGACACCGACCAGGTTCGTGGATTGTGCTCCGTTGAATGGACTACGACTAATTGTTGTAGAAACGGACGATTCCTGGGGCAGAACAGCGACTTTACGATGATCTACAATGGGCAGGATTAAATTGGGATGAAGGTCAGTTTGAAATAAATACAAAAATTGTGGGAAACCGCTGACTCTCGCTTTGTTGACAGGCCCCGTCGTTGGTGGTCCTTATGGACCTTATAGACAAGTGAGACCACACACCTTTGTCGCAAAGCAAATAATTCCTAACTCCTTGTTGTTGCCGCGCAGTCCGAACGAACAGCTTTATATCAGTCGCACGCCAATGACCTTATCGCCAATGGCCATGCATACCGATGCTTCTGCTCCGCAGAACGATTGGATTCGATCGCCCGTCACCGCAGCCAGGCAGGACTGGCGCCTGGCTATGACCGAAAATGCGGCGATGTATCTGCCGAGGAATCCGAAGACCGAGCCGCCAAGGGAGAGGCACACATTATTCGATTAAAAGTGGAGGAATACCCTATGTTTACTGATCTGGTTTATGGCAAATCTGGTCAGAATCGACCGAACAACTCAAAGCTGGATTTCATCGACCGCGTATACAATGACCCGGTTCTGATCAAATCGGATGGACACCCAACATATCACTTGGCAAATGTCGTGGATGACCATTGCATGAAGATCACTCATGTTATCCGAGGAACAGTGAGTTTAATTATTATATTTATGGCTATCAAGTCACAGAATACGGAACTAACGCCTACCAGGAATGGATGGCATCTACACCTATGCACATGGCGCTATATAATGCCTTCAAGTGGACGCCACCAAGCTTTGCTCATGTCCCTCTGCTCGTTGACCGGAGTGGACAAAAGCTTAGCAAGCGCAATGCGGATATTGACCTCTCATCTTTCAAGGATCAACAAGGAATCTTCCCATCCACCTTGGTGAACTTTGCTTCGCTCCTAGGCTGGTCGCATTCTGAGAAGTCTGATGTGTTGAGTCTGAAAGAGCTGGAACAGATTGTATGTTTTTCTCGGTCTCGCGAAAACACCATAATTCAACTGCTAACAGTCTTACCAGTTCAATTTGAAAATCACTCGGGGCAACACTGTCGTCTCCTTTGAAAAACTCCAGTTCCTCCAAAAGGCACATGTCCAACGCTTAGTCAAGAGCGGCGGCCCTGAGTTCGACGAGATAGTGAAGAAGGTGACCTCTGTGGTGGAAGAAAACTACCCTCTCGACAAACTGTAAGTCGGCCATCAGCCGTGAAGAACCCACACATTGATTACGTAGTGCCTAATAACTGACACCTAGCAGCACCACGATCCTCAAAGGTCGCACTCTCTCCGAATACATCGCGCCCCTTATCCGGGCAGATGTCAACAACTACACAAATGCTGAGGAGTTCACCCAGCGCAACTCCATCTTCTTTACTCCAAAACTAGACAGGGCCCCTTACAAACCGGCCTCGCCCCAGTCCTCCCCAGAAGTCCCAGTCCAAGCCCTGCACACGGCAGCAGCCGCCCTAACCCTCGTCCCACCCGCAGCCTGGAATATCGACACGCACCGCGACAACATCAACAGCTACGATGGCTCAGAAAGCGTGGTTATACCCGCATCTAAGTCAGAGACACCCGCTGGCTCCAATAACGCTAACAAAATATTCAAGAAGGAGCTGTATCACTACCTCCGCTGGGCGCTATCGGCTTCTGCGCCTGGCCCTGGAATCGCAGAGACTATGGTAGTTCTCGGGAGAGATGAGACACTGCGCCGAGTGCAGGATGCCAAGGCGTTGACACAGTCCTTGGTTCCTTCTGCTGGCCAGAGAGTTCCCAAGGGAACTTTGCCTGAGGATCAGAGTTGGATGGGGTCTCTTGCAACCAGCCGGTAATGTAGAATGAGCAGATCGAGTGACTGTACTATAGCTGTATTTGATATAACCCAATCCCAATATGTATTTTAACTCCATGACGAGCGGCTACCTTGTTCTACGATTCGTCTCTACCATGAGGTTACTGATTGACCGATATAAGGAAACAAAAAGTACTCCTGTGTACTGCGATTTAAAAGTTAAAGTTTCTGTTACAACTTCATGGGACCTGATCAATCAGAGCTCCTATTTACTTCCTGGGGTGATGCAGTCTTGAGAACATGCCTTTGTTCGCCAGCAGTTCCGAGGGATGTCCCTCTTCTATGATCCGACCACTATCCAGCACAATAACTCGATCGAAGTCGAGCATGGTGTGAACTCTATGCGCAACCATAATGATAGTGCGATTCTGGAACTCCTGGCGAATGACTTTCTAGACCTTGGAATCTGTCTCTGAATCCAGACTGACTGCAAATGGGTAGCATTGTTGAAGCAAAGAGACCCGAAGAAATCACATACCTGCTTGTTATATATCTTGCCCTGTTGAAGTCATACATAGGTCCAGTGGACGGCTACCTCTACAGTAACCCATTTGTCTATCGACACTATCCATAACATTGACACAATTGAGAGGAAGCTTAAGAGTATCAGAGAATAAAATTAACAACACTATATCGAAACACTGTACTTCGCTGACAAATACATAGAAAAAACGGTGAAAACCAACAAAATCCGACTCCCCAAACCGGGGATCGAAAAGGGAATAAACGAGCCATAAGCACCAAGCCAGCAAAAAACCATAAGTGACAGAGAAACGAAGAAAAATAACACCATGCCAAGAAGACTAGAAAAAGGAGAAGATTAAATGCAGTGGGAATTGAAACAGCGAGGGTGTCAGTCCAGAAAGGTGAATGACAGGAATCCTCAAAGGCTGCAGCCTGACACAGTCGGGTGCAAGGTCAGGCTCAGTGACATTGACAGATGAAAGAGAGCATGAGCAAGTTTGGCATGATAAACTCGTAATTTTGAACAGGAAGAGAAGTTGAAGTCTTAAAGTCGGCCCCTCGGGAATTAGCGTTTATGAAGAGAGGAGAAAACTGCCCGTAAGGAATCGAAGGGAGCTCAGTCGTTAAAGGAAAGCCAAGGTTAATCATGAGCCGTGCAGAATCCAGTCGTGGGATCATCAAAGGTCAACGGTTGCGTAACTACCGTTGAACATCCGAAGCGCCGAGAAATGAGATGCAAAAGACGAGATGCATTATAGGGAGGGGAGACAATGTCAAGCATCTAGTAGGTTTCATAGTCATCGGCCCACTCATTGTCACTGCCAGCAACGCGCAGGACCTGCCCGGGATGCGGACCATCGGGACTGACACTGCGGATACCCTTGGCCTTCTTGCCAGTGAGATCCGCTCCATCCTCGGGTGCAAATCGCTTTCCTCCGTGTGCAGCACGCAGTTTAGAATAGTAAATATCACTAGGATCGGCTTCTGACCCCGAGCCGTCCTCGAAAGTCTCCCAGTTTTCAGATCCAGAGGTTGCAGTGTTGACTGTAGAGGAATTGGAGACCTGGCGGGCAGCTGGAGGAGGGGCTGCATGCTGCAGGTAGGGGTTGGGTCGAGGGAAGGCTTGGCTAGAGGAGTTCAGAGACAGTGAAGACTGTGAGGAGTGAGATGAATGAGAGAATCCAGTGGATCTTTGTGAGTTCGAGAATCCTGACGCGCTCATGAAGGACCGCTGCCGGTCATCATAGACGTCTTCCGGGCTAACTGGCCGCACATAGGCACTAGACATAGCGCTGTTGCAGCGAGGCGGCTCCATAAGGTGACTGAAGCGGTCTTCCCTTGACTCGACCGTTAACGCACGCATCCGTGGGGGAGGTCCACGCGGGGGCGGCATCTTGCCATTAAGTGTGCTAGACGAGTAAGCGCCGGGTTGCATACGACGCTCAGGGGAGTTGTTTCCATGCGGCATGTTTCCCAGCGGGACACGGGCGGGAAGCTTTGAAGGGGATGTTGCACCGGCTCTTGAGGTGGCTCCAGATCTAGAGGCTCCGTAGCCAATGGTGTTGTGTTTAACTGGGCCGCTGCTAGTGGGGGTCTTGGTGGCTGAGCGGGGGGGGAGGCGGGCCTCTCATGGAGCTTCCAGGGCGGGGAGGGGGGTGTTGTCTCATTGTGTTTGCTTTAGTAGACGAGGGTGGTGCAGACGGTGTTTTTGAGCGTGGTGGAAGCATTGACTTGACAGGTGTCAACGCATCGAGATATCGCTCTCCGTGCACTAGGAATGGTCGGCCGAATTCGTCTTCCCAGTGTTCCAACTCTTTCCGCAGGTCAGCTTCGAGTTTCGGTAATTCTTTGGCAATTCTCTTGCGCAGCTTCTCCTCTCTCAAAAGCTTTCCAGGGTCACGCTTCTCTCCCTTATTCCCGCGGCCCATCAGGCGAGATGCATCTTGGCTTGATGTTGCAAGTGCCTCGCGGTCTGTCAGAAGAGTGCGGTGTCTTTCAATCATTTCGAGAGTAGGAGCGCGCTGTTCCTTGATAGCCTCCAGTCGTGTGATTTCGGCCTCATGGGCCTCGAGCAAAGCATCACTACACACATCGGAGAATGCAGGTGTGAAATCGAGCATTTCCTCTTCGGAGAAGAAGAGGGCGTCCCAAAGTTCCTGCAATCGGCAGCGAGCATCCTCCACAAATAGGTGAAGGTTCTGTCTCTTAAGTTCGTTGAGGCGAGTCAATTCCTCTTCCAGGTCGTTTATTGTGCGCAAACCGCAGCCACGGTTTGCAGCCAGGAAAGCTTTACGATCAGCCTCCTCAACACCAAAGCGATCCCAAAGAGAAATCACAGTACTTCGGAGGTCGTTGATCTTGCGCTCGCGGCCCTTCTTTTCTTCCACCAATTTATTGCGCTTGGCCATGAGGTTGGCGACATCATCTTCATGCAGCCCCAGTTGCTCAGGGGATTCACGATAACACTTCACGATAGTGGAATCTGTTTGCGCCTGGGGTGTTCCGAGCTCGGCCCAGAGCTTAATCATTTCTTCGCAGGCAGATTGAACCTGGGCAATGCGGCGGTGGTACTCTTCGTAGACGTGGGTAAATTCGGCATCCAACGCCGTCACATACAAAGGCGAAAGGTCGAAGCTTGGGGGAATTGAGGACCCTGGCGCAGTGGGAGGAAGCTCGAGCTTAACAAAGGATGGCTCGAGGTGTGAGGAGTAAGATTCAAGCGCGTCCACAAGTTCTATTGGATGTCAGTAAAAGGGCATCAGCGACACATCGCACAGATAACACTCACTCTTAACCTGCTCATAGCGCTCACGGTGCAGCTTGCTCATCGCATCATTCTTCTCGCGCAAGAATGCAATACATTTGTTAAGTGGGTAAGTGACACGAAGGTCGTCGCGGTTAAGCTCATATTGGCCATTGGCCCGTTCATCGCTCAGGGACGATTCCATTTGCTGAATCGCTGTGATGAGACGTTCTGCTTCCTGCGTCATGTCCTCTCTCTCCCTATAAATAAGGTTAGAAAGCCTCCAATGGGTCTGTTTATAGATGCGACTCACTCATCAACAACCTTAAGGTGATTGTTCAAAGTCTCTGACAGGGCGCTAAAGAGCTGTATCACTATATTAGCCACGCGACAATGCCATTGTAACACAAGGTCCAACTTACCTCCGCTTCACGGGACTCGCGCTCGCGCGCAGGAACTCCAATCTCATCGTAAATCCCATGGAGCTGGGCGACGATGTTGTTGACCTGAGTGGTCAGGTAGCCAGTGTCTACCGCCATTGTAACGAAAGTCCTTTAATGAGGGTGACAAAAAATCGAGATTGATAACAAAGAATGGAGTGTATCCAATCCAACGACACAGTGCCGAGCGAAGCTGCGACAGGGTGACCAATGTCGGGATCAAAACAAGAGATCCTGGCACACAGGGTTCTCAGCACACAAGGTGCGACGGAAATAAAGGAAAGTAAAGGGTTGCGAAAGCACTCAAGGCAGCGACATAGGAGAGCGAACACACTCTTGTTTATGAGGGGGGGTGTACTGGAATCGCAGGTGATAGATAACATCAGGTTTCCCAAGGTCGAAGTGGGTGTTTGGGCGCGATCGTCGTCCTGGGCAACGGATGACTCAGCTAGCCCCACCGCCCAATACTGCCAATCAATGATCAACCCCACGGCCTGGTCTACTTCGTACCTTAATGCATTGACTTCTGATACTATTTATTCTCCGGTCCTTGCAGAACCCCCATTATCACTGTGCCCTTACTTTAAGTACACTGATCCTTCCAATACATTGTCTACCCTTCGACTGTCTGCTCTATCCCCATCCATCCAAAATGCAGGCTGCCCAGCAAGCCTGGGGTGAGTACCTCCATATCTATATGGCAACAAGCTTGTAATTAACCAATATCCCCGCGCAGAGCTCGAGAACGCGATAAGCGTCTTTGATCCCCAACGAGATGCCCTCTATGAATACGATGCCGACACAGAAAAAGCCCTCAACGACGAGCGACCATGGGCAACCGACCCATACTATTTCAAGCACGTCCGAATCTCCGCTACAGCACTATTGAAGATGGTGATGCACGCCCGCTCCGGTGGCTCACTAGAGATTATGGGTTTGATGCAAGGCTACATCCTACCGAACACCTTCGTGGTGACAGATGCGTTCCGGCTCCCAGTTGAAGGCACCGAGACCCGAGTGAATGCACAGGACGAGGCAAACGAGTACATGGTATCATATCTGCAGTCGTGTCGAGACGCAGGGCGGATGGAAAATGCTGTCGGATGGTATCACAGTCACCCTGGTTATGGATGCTGGCTGTCTGGCATTGATGTAGCCACTCAGCAGACACAGCAAATGACCGGACCCTTTGTCGCCGTTGTCATCGATCCGGACCGTACCATCTCTGCGGGCCGCGTTGAGATCGGTGCTTTCCGCACATTCCCATCGAACTTTACCCCGCAGAAGGAGGCTCATGAAGATGACGAGTATCAGACTATCCCACTTGGGAAGGCGGAGGATTTCGGTGCACATGCCAATCAATACTACCCTCTTGATGTCAGTCACTTCAAGAGCACTCTTGATACGGAAATATTGTCCCTCTTATGGAATAAATACTGGGTCGCAACCCTCAGCCAGAGTCCGCTATTCACCTCTCGTGACTTTGGTAATAAGCAGATCATGGATCTCAGCCAAAAAGTGCGAAAAGCCGCGCGTGGAATGGAGGTCACTGGTCCTCGTTCCGGTGGCGTCAACGCCAAAGATCAACAACTCGATAAGGTTGTCCGTGGCGGGCAGCGGATTGTTGCAGAGGAAGTGAAGGGTCTCCTGGCATCCGAAACTAAAATGAAGCTCTTCCACGGCATCGGAAATCAGACTTCTTCGACAGAGTGATCCAGCTCAGATGGTGAAGGGTCTTTAATCCCATTCTCGTTGACATGACTGCCATGCTTTTTTTACTTTGGCTTGAACTGTTGTATTTGGCGCTCAGCGTTGGTATTCTTCTATTCCTTTGCCACGCCATATTCGCTGGTATTTCTGGGTCATACCGTGCACAACAGTATTTCTTGTCCCATCATGAGCATAGAATATCTAAAATTGCAGTTCCTACGAATGAACGAATTTACGACTTCATGTCTCGCCTAGGTAGGCGTCCCAGGCAATAGTAATAAACGACAAATAATGAGCTCCCATGGGGTAGCGTCCCAAAGTATATCCGCTAGTCTAAGCAGTCTAAGATAAATCCAGAGAATCAACCTCTATTGGCACGGAATGGGTAATGTTCCGGGCAAGAATCGAATAAGTAGTGAGACACTGTATATAATGAAGTGGAAAGCACGAAGCCAACCCCACCGGACATCCATCAGACAGGAACAAAAGTCTCAAGTCGTTCGTGGCGTTCATTATTCAGAAGATGGCGTGGAGGACATAAGCTTGAAAAAGAAAAAAAAAAAGCAGGTCGCCCCAACCTGGCGACAACACAAGGGGATATGTTGAAAAAGAAACGAAGCCAAAAAAAAAATAATAAAAGTGAAATCAAAAGCCAAAAAAATGTACGCCGAGAAAATGGCCAGAATATGTCACAGTCAGTACAGAAAAGATGTATGTTGTATAGTTCGAGGGGGCCACAGAGGCATGTAACCTCATGAGATAAGAGATGAGGGGGGGAGGAAGGAAATGGCGAATAGACAAGAAATCCCAATCAATCGAACAGCTCCAGCGGCTCGATCGGGGAAAGTGATATATCGTCAACATACGGAGGGTACTCCGTATTCGGTGCAACGATAAATGCGCTTGAGGGTGACTGCACCGGGAAATGGTCAAAGATGTGGGTCGTGGAAAGATATTCACATGCATGTGATAGATCGATCTGCAAGTCTCCTTGCTGAGAAGGTGAGAAGCTGCGGTAGTGTGGAGACTAAGATAGCCTAAACACGGTCAGGCCGGAGAATGGCCCCCAAAAGGAGTCGGTTTAGCCTGCATTGGTAAAACAGTGGCGTTGCAGTGCGAATGGCGGATTTGTCGAACCTGTTTGGTGGGTCGTAACTTGACAGGGATCTTCACGGGTTACAGGAAACCGGACTCAGATAGTAATCTACGAAATTCAGAATCAAAAACGGTTAGTCTCAACAGCCGGACAGTTTTGAGAGAGAAAAAAAAAAAGCAGACTTGTCTTGGCCCAAGAGGAGAATAGGAGGTCAAATTTGGGTATCGCTGAGCAAATTCCAAACGCCATTTAAAAACCAAAAAAAAAAATTGAAGATCATCGCAAAATAGCAACGGTGGATGCAAACAACAAGGAGCCCTTGTCTCTGCTTGTGGTCTCGGCATACCTTGCAATCTTTTCATCCTCACGCTCTCTAGGCTCGATTTCCAGACTTCGTTCGTACATGTCGTGTACATCGCCAGCACCTTGGAGGTTACTGAGAATGTAATCCTGAAGTTCACCGACGGGTTGCAAAAGATAAGGAACATTCTGGTACTGTTGGATATCTCGAATAACTTCTGCAGTCTTAGCCCGCTTATTGAAGTTGATCAATTCCGAAGGTGTTAGAGACGGAATACCGTCTTCAATGAAGGTCAAATCCGTAAGATAGACACCTAGGATATTTGTTAGCCACAAATTAAAGGGGTGAGATACTCCAAGACAATACGCTTGGAATGACCGTGATGCATACCGAAAAATGGAATACAGGGCGGGTTAGCGAGATGCAGGGTTTCTCGATATTCGCCAAAGTTCTTCGTGCTAGCCATAAGCCGACGCATCTGTTCCAGAATTGCGGACGTGCGTCCACTAACCTGGCCCCACGTCCTACCTAGACGATGGATGGGTGCGGTTCCAAGAGCTGAGATGATGGATGTCAGGGTAGAGTAATTGTTCAGACTGCGACATTTCTGTATAATCGAGTTAGCAAAGCTGAGATTTATGAAACAAACATAGAAGACACATACATCAGCCACGTTCACAAAGTGTTTGATGACTACAACACGCTTCTTGACATCGCCTTGGGCGAGAATCATTTCGGCGACCCAGTTGGTAAGCTGGTTAGAGTGAAGAATCAAGGCCTTGACATTAGGAGATGGTTCTGGTTCATCAGGGCCGACCTTCTTCTGCCATGTCTTGTTCAAACACTCGGTGGGCCGAATTTTGGAGTAGAGGCGCGACTCAATGATGGTCAGCTGTCGAGCAAACTCCGTTGGATCGATGTCGAGGAACTTCAGCTTCTTCATATTCTTGGGGATGATTGGTGCTGGTGCGGCGGTGCTCTGAGTCGGAACTAGACGCTTGACTGTTGTATCTTGTCCCCGAAGCCGTTGTTCGATCACGGCCAATAGTGTAGGGGTGCCTGGGGTTTTTGTGGTAGCGATTGAGTCGCTGGTGAAAGTATGGACACGTCGCAGGAGATCCATGTGCATTTCATCATTAGGCTCCATCCAGAAATGATCAAACCAACTCTTAAGAATGTTTACGACACGGAATCTAATCGGCTTCTGTTTCCGATCGATCCACATTTGCATATCATCTTGATTCAGGCCAAATGGAGGCTGAATGTTAAACCGCTGGACAAGCAATTCAAATAGTTCGGTGGCAGTAGTAAAAGAGCGATAGGTGAGGAGGAAGGTGTTGTTGAAGGATGCATCAAGCTTATCGTGGCGGGTGAGATGTTCAACCAATCCCGCGAGTGTTCCACATTTGAGGATTGGCAAGTCTCCTTTGTTATCGTAGAACACTTCGCCTTCATGTGCCATTTTCAAGAACCAAGGAGTTTCTTCGGGCTCACGGACTGGTTCCCGGATTGGCTCCCGGGTAATAGCTGTTGGGGGTGCCTGGCCAAAGAATCGTTGTGCCTTGTCCATATTTCTTCGTACTTTATCGGTGCCACCTTCCTTTTCAGGAGCGTACGAGGATGGAATTCCGATTGACTCCGTAGCAATCTTGGCCTTGGATTCGGCTCGCTTATGCATGTTCTTGTACGACTCATCTTCCACTTCCTGGCGGGTATCACGTTGTAGAGATGATGCGGGTTCGGTAGGGATTTGCTCGAGGAGCAGCGACAGTGAGAAGCCAATCTGGGAGACACAGTTCTCCAACTGCCTGGCGATGCCTCGTACGGCATTCACACGATCGTCCAATGAATTCCCACGGAGCTCGGCCCACTCATCAGCCAGAGGGGCAGAGACTGCTTGACAACTCAGCACAAAATCTCCAATAGCATCGTAGACTCTTTGCTTTTGCAAGCTGAAATCTACTAGCTGGGGGTTCTGGAAGCTTGTCCCCAGCGGAGCTAGGTTCATCGATTCAACAGAGGATATCCATGGGCGGAACTGGTCTATAACCTTGATTGCAGCAGCTGAGATTGCATCCGCAATATCTCCGTGTTCCTCCACTGTAACGATCTTCCGGTTTACAACCAACCGTTCTTCTAGTCGCCGAATGCTACCAACGAAAGATCTCCTGAGAATGTCGATTGAATCCAAAAAGGCAGTATCGAGAGTGACCGATGGCTCTGCTCGTGAGTCGCCTCCATCCGGGACAAGGAATGATGTTGGACCTGAAGTATTCAAGGAAACGCCGTTGTTCTGCCAGCTACCACCCGAAGAGCTACCGCTGACGAAGCCAGGCACAATGCGATGGATCGCATCGCCGCGCTGTTGTTGAGCCACTTCCACGTAACCATACACACCCTGCATAACTCCATCGGCCTCCTGCAGACATTTATTGGCCGAGTCGGCACCAGGCCAATCGGCGGCGGCAATGTGTGATGAAAGAACCAGTTTCGAGAACTTGGACATCATGTCCCGGAAGTAAGGATATAGGGCTTTGTTTGTGGAAATGATAGATGGGTTACCAGAGTGATTATCCGTCGTGTCAGATCCAGCAGCCAGCAGCATGCGAAGATGGTCCGATATGTCCTCAGCCTTTCTTACATACTCTGCACGCTCACCGTTGAAAAGCGCCTGGCGGTAAGCTTCCACGGCGTACCTCATATTATCGACAAGCAGAGGCCAGGTGATTGGTGGTGCGAAGCCATCGTCGACGAAGTGTTGAGGAGGGTTGGAGGAAATAGAAGGTCTGGAAAAGCTTTCTGTCACAGACGTGCTAGTACTATTTCCGCCCAGGCTGTATATCTTTTGGGAGTTCTTGCTCGGCGGCCGCGGCGGTTTGAAATCTTTATTTCCCGGGGCGTACAAGGAATCCATAGACGTGGCAGGGGAAACTCCATCCATCACGGACTGGCGTCGGCGAGAAATTGAGTCATGCGAGCCTAACATTAATGACTCTCCCTCTGCCTCCGATGCAGATCCATCGTACTCGTCTTCATCGCGCTCAAAGCCACGCGCCATCAGCTCCGGGGGTGGCCGTGTCTGGTCGGGGACAAAGAAATTATTTCGATCTCGCGGGCCAGGTTCGGTTGTTGCGGTCGGGTTCTCGAAAGGGAGCTCCATGGTAGAATATCCGGTGAGGGTGTTGAAGTAGAACAGGCGGCCGTCAGGTGTCGCTTGGGGGATCCAGAATGCGGCCTCTTCCTGCTCCTTGGGCGCTGGAATACCCTCAATGGGGAGAATCGGCTGTGATTCTCGAGAGTTACCCTCAGATTGTACTTCATCCTCATCGTGTCCATCGCCATATTCATCTTCCAGTCCCGAGTCCGCGCTGAGGTCGGTTTCTTGGTGGGCCTGTGTGAACTGGTCGCTGAAATCGTCCGCTTCGGTGATTGGGGTACAATAATTACTTGGGAACCAGCCTCGAACATCATCCATCACTCCATCCCACCATCCAGTTTCTAGCTGGTTGAGGACCTGGATAATGTCGCCACGGCGGAAACTCAGGCTAGTGTGATCGTCGGCGTCATAATCGTACATAGCCCGTACGAAGAGCGCCGGGGGCTCCG